GATGTGGTGGGAAAAAGAAAAAACATCAGAAATGCTCTTTTAACCCACGGACTCAATGCGGCCAAAAATACAGGTCTATTTGCTTTCAATCGAGGAGTCTCTTTACCCTTTAGAAAGAAGAAGAAGAAAAAAGGACAAACAGGTCAAGGAAGAAGAAGAAGAAAAAGAAGAAAGCAGACAGGGAGAGGAAGAATCCTGTTAGCCCGAGGGGGTCCTAAGAGAAAAAGGAAAAAACAAGGAGGAATTCCTAAAAGAAAACGTCATTTAGATGTGTTTGACTGAGAGAGAGAGAGAGAGTATAAATAGGACAGTCCAGGGAACAGAAGGTTCATTTGTGAAAACTGAATCCTAGTAGACACATCATGTTACAGCCCGATTCCTGTGCGTGTGGGATGAACAATTTAGAATTGTTTCAAGTCCCTCCGACTAATATTGCTTTAGAAGACTCGAAATGGGAAGAATATTACCCCATTTCCAGTACTTTAGATTCCGACACCGCTCCCATCGAATTTGAAATCAAAGGACAAGGAGATCACTATCTGGATTTATCTCAAACTTATGTTCAAATGGTATGTAAATTTACCAAAGACGATGGAAGTAATCTGACTGGGGCGAACAGCACTTCCAGTCCCGTGAATAATATCTTACATTCCATGTTTACGGAAATCGATGTCAGTCTGAATGGAAAAATAGTGACTCCGGGGACGGATACCTATCCTTACAAAGCTTATCTGGAGAAATTATTGTCTTACCGACCCAGAACTTTAAAGACACAGACGAGGGCCTGTAGTCTGTGGGAAAAAGATACGGCAGGACACATGGACGAAGTGGGGTTAGAGGCTCTTGGTGTAGCTCAAAATAAAACCTTTGATGTAACTCCGGGTGCAAATGGTGGGGCCGACACGGTGACCATTAACCAACCCATCCTCACAGCGTTACCGGCCAATTCTAAAAACGAAGGATTCCGAAAAAGACACCAAGCTATTGCTGACAGTAAGAAAATCAGTTTGCTGGATACTTTACATTTGGATTTGTTTCAACAAGATCGATTTCTACCTAATGGAGTGGACGTCCGTTTGCGATTTAATCGAGCTAGACCCTCTTTCTACATGATGATCAAAGGAGGAAGTACAGGAAAAGTGAAAATATTGAGTATGATCTTGTGGGTGAGAAAAGTCAAACCCACAGCAGTCATGATGAATACCATTAATCAGAGTTTGAATACCCACAGAGCCAAATATCCCTTGAGAAGAGTGGAAGTGAAAACCTTTACCATCCCCATAGGGACCCAGTCTAAGATTACGGATCATCTGTTTCAAGGTCAGATGCCTAAACGTCTCATTTTAGGCTTTGTGGAGAATGCGGCCTTTAACGGAGATAAAACTAAAAATCCCTTTCATTTCCAAAACTTTGGGATCAAGAAATTAGATGTCAGTATCAACGGAGAGACCATGAGTACTCGTTGTTTTGAGCCTAATTTCAACGACGATTTATATCTGAGATCCTATCTCAGTCTGTATCAAGCTCTGGGAAAATTAGGAGAAGATTGGGCTCCGGACATCACCCTAGAAGAGTATAAAAGCGGCTACACTCTATGGGGCTGGGATTTCACTAAAGATCAAGAAGCGCAATCGGATAAATTCCACATCATAGAAACAGGAAATCTGAGAGTAGAAGTGCAGTTTACCAACAATACGGTTAACACCATCAATTGTGTGGTGTATGCAGAATTCGATAACTTATTAGAAATTAACAAACAGAGAGAAGTGAGCATTGATTACTAAAAAAAAAAATGGATACGGGACAATTGAGAGAAGTCTTATCCAGAGAATTCAAGAGTTCTTTTGGAGGCGTGTATCCTGTAGATTTATTACCGGATCAATTAAGACCTGGAGAAAAAGCTGTCGTGGTCAATACGGATCCTCAAGATCGACCTGGAGAACATTGGGTGTGTCTATATGTGAGCAATCCCGTGGTGGAATATTTCGATTCTTATGGATTTCCTCCCTTACAAAAAGAAATTCAAGATTTTATCCAGCGTCATGCTCAACAATGGATTTATAATCCGTATCGCTATCAAGACTGGAATACCGATGTGTGTGGACAATATTGCGTGTATTATTTACATCAAAGAGACAAGAAAAGAAAGAAAACCGACGAGTGGCTATTCCCCTTTGACCAGAGTACGGCTTTACAAAGGGACAGATACGTGGCGAATTGGTTTAAAAACACTTATCATAAATTACCTACGGGTCATGGACAAAAGTGTCAATGTTTTTATCAAAATGTATTGTAAATGAGTTGTTTGTTGTTTGTTGTTTGTTGTTACAAAATAAAGAATGAAAAAAAAAATCTGTGTTCTTTGTTTTGTCTTGTGTTAGTGTTTTCAGAAAAAATCCAGTTTGAACTGGTTAGGCTAGACTGAGCTTTTGACTGTGAAGTGTGACGTCATAATCTTGAATCGCTGCCAAGTATTTACCTGTGTAGTCAGCATAAAAAAAACGTAGGTAAAACGTATGTTTTGCACACGGGCCCTGACTTGAATCGCTGCCAAGTATTTACCTGTGTAGTCAGCATAAAAAAAAAACGTAGGTAAAACGTTCACAGCAGGTATATAAAGCGAAACTGGGAGTACCCTGCACTCATTATTTAGCAAGCGAATTCCAAGAATATTAGAAGACATGGAGATGGATAAAGATAAATTTGCCTTATTAGAAAAGAGAATGACGGAACCTATGGAGGGGGATCACGAAGCTCCTCAAACAAAAAGAAGAATGGAGTTGAAAACCTTGGATCCGGAACCTAAGATTGAATATTTACCCCTGAATGAGCCTGTGAAGGATCCTAAATGTCCTATGCCACCCGGAGACCTGGGAACCTACGGAGGGGGATCACAAAGCTCTTCAACAAAGAAGAATGGAGTTGAAAACCTTGGATCCAGAACCTAAGAATGAATATTTACCCCTGCATGAGCCTGTGAAGGATCCTAATGATCCAGGCAGAAGTTACAGGATAGCCATTAATTGGACTTTCACCATTAAAGAGCCTAAAGAAGAAGAAGATATAGACATGTTTCTGAGCAACCAAGATGATTTCTTCTTTGGTTTCCAGTATTTGATTATACAAAAGGAAAGACATCCCTGGACAGGAGAACTGCATCAAATCAGGGGATTCATTCAAATGAAGGAACCAGAAGGAGGACTGACTATGTGCAGACTTCATATCGCTGCCAGATTTGCTATGTCTCACAGTACTCCAGAATTGGAAAGTATGTTTTACAAGCAAGGAGGTGACTATGAAGAATATGGTGTTCTGAAACCGGAGGAGAGAAATAAGGAATTGGAGCCCAGAGATTGGATAGAATGGGAAATAGGAGCTTGGAAGAAACCTGAAGCTATTGCAGCTAGAGAAGCTAGGAAGAAAAAGTTCTTAAAGAATGTGAGCTGGTCAAGATGTGAATAAATAAAAAAGATTGAACTGTTATTTATTGTTAGATCTCAATAAAAAAGAAAAGAAAAAAAAATTGTGGGTTTTTTGTCATTTTTAAAAAATAGGTTATCTCCCTTTAACCATAGATTTTTTTTTTTCAAAACACCAAAACAAAAAATGTTGAGGTTTTTTTTAAAGATTGATAAAAATAGATACAATTTTAAAAAAGGTATAAATAGTAAACATGGTATAAAACACACCTCAGTTGTGGACTGGCTTCATTATGGGTAACACCTCCAGTAAAGAAATGAGTCAGAACACTAGATTAAAGGAAACTGAATGGTTACTTATACAGGAGGGAGGAAAAGATATCATACCACCTCCCTTGATGGTAGAACATCCTGCAGTATTTATACCACCTCCCTTGATGGAAGAACATCCTGTAGAATATAAACCTCAGGAGGAGGAAAAAGAAAACATAAGACCAAACAACAAACTCTTGGAGGATATTAAGGCTCATTATCAAAACAAACAGAAAGAAAATACAGGCAATGGATATATTGCTTACTTAAAACAAGACAGAGGTAGAATAGCCAATAATTGGATATTTAATTTAACTGGGTGCCGACAGGAAGATGTAGATCAAATCATTGGAAGTGATTATCAATACTTGATCTTACAAAAAGAAAGGCATCCAGAAACTGGAAAACTTCATCATGTGAGAGGATTCATTCAAATGAAAAACAGAGTTCAAGGGAGATACATGTACAGAAAGATTCATAAATTAACCTGTTTTGAGATGTCTTACAGCACCCCAGAATTGGAAAGAACCTTTTATAGACAAGGTGACTATGAAGAATATGGAGTTCTAAAACCTGATGTGAGAAACAAAGAATTAGTTCCAAGAGATTGTAGATTTACCTGAATAATAAAAAAAAAAAACTTGTTTTTTTAAAAAAAAATTCTTGTTGTTGTTGTTCTATAAAAACAAGGGTGTTTTAAAAAATAGATTCATTTTACATCATGAGTCTCCAGGAGATACAAGGTGATTTACTCAACTGTGAGGTAGAAGCTATTGTTCATCAATGTAATTGTTTAACTGTAAAAGCTCATGGATTGAGTCAAAGTATTGCAGAGAAATTCCCACAAGCTAATCTCTATGCCACTCGCAGACCTCTAGGGACTAGAAATTTAGCCGTAGAAGAAGATAGAGGAATTCCAGGCACTATTAAGGTGTTTCCCTCACAAACCCCTGTGGTCATTTGTTTATTAGCTCAATGGGATTATGGAAAAGCAAGTCACCGACCTAAAAGAATTTCCACTTATCAGGATACCCCACAAAACAGAGAGCAATGGTTTCAAGCCTGTTTACAAGAAATGGGGGAAAGTTTACCTTACCAGACTTATGCTTTTCCTTACAAGATTGGGTGTGGACTAGCCCAAGGAAATTGGATTCATTATAGACATTATATTGAACAATTTGTACACACTTATGAAAAACATGTGTACATTCTTCATCATTAATTGTGTGTTTTCATGTGATGTAAAATAAAGAAGAAAAAAAAAAGTACCTTTTTTATCTGTCATACTCTAATGTCTGTTTTAAACAGGAGATGAAGGTCCACCGCAATCCCCATGCACTCATAAGCAGATCTCTGGGGGGTCAGTAGAAACACTCAAGTAGTTTTTTTTCTTTTCCCCTGTGATATAATGTCAAATATTTTAATGGAAAATTCAGAAATTCATCAGTAATTGGAGTCAAAACTTGCTATCTTTATAGTATTGATTTCCATTATCAGATTTTATTTTTTATCCATTTTAAAAATATAAACATTTAAAATAATTATCTTAATAATAATAATTAAATAAATTAAAATGATATCTCATTGAAACTTTTTTTAGATTCAAGTTTTTGTTTTTGTTTTTATGTTAGTTATTTCACTGTATATTTCCCAAAGGAAGACCAACAGCCAGGCTTCACTTCACTTAGAGAATGGATTGGTTAGGAACAAAACATATCTTCCAGGTTTGAGGACTGTATAGAAAAATAAAACCCATTTTTTTTTTTTTTTTGTTATGAAATTACATGAGACAATGTCTCTTATAAATGTAATGCAAAAATAATATCTCTTATATATATATATGGATTCCTATACTCTAATCATATTAAATGTCATTTGTAAAATGTATTATTTTTAAAGACAGATTTTATTTAGGATTGACTTTTTAAATGATGACATGAATAGCAGGCCATACTTTCAGCACATGACAAAAACATTCTCTCAAATTACACAGAAATGGATTATTTAGCATAGCTGACATTAAACATATAGATGAGGGATAACATAATCACAATTATAAACAATGTGAAACAACTTTAAACGACCTACAAGGTAGATTACAAGCCTTTTTCACTGGGGTAAAATCTCGCCGAAATTCGCTATGGCCGCCGAACCCGAACCCGACTGTATAAAGATGAAGTCATAAAAATAACATAACACTGATGTAGTATTACATGATATTTTTTTTTTATTTTATTTCGTACCATTTCTGGGGCAGAATTGTTTTCTAGCCTGTGTGAAATTTGTTGGTATTGAATACATACTTTCTCCCCATACGACCCCCTTGGGGATGAGTCAGGAAACTGACTTGAATCGCTGCCAAGTATTTACCTGTGTAGTCAGCATAAAAAACGTAGGTAAAAGGTATTGATGCACACGACCCTAATTTTTTGCACACGGCCCTTACAAATGATGCAACAGGTATAAAAAGGTAGGTCAAAGGTGCACACGGCCCCCCTGACTTGAATCGCTGCCAAGTATTTACCTGTGTAGTCAGCATATTTTTTGCACACGGCCCTAAACAAACTTGACTCGCTGCCAAGTATTACCTGCGTAGTCAGCATAAAAACGTAGGTAAAACGTGCACTCGCCCCACAGCAGGTATATAAAGCAAAAAACTGTAAAATTTGACAATCAGTCTTGCTTGACACTTCGAACTTGACAGACGTGAAAATAGTATGGCAGAAGCAATGATGAATACTCCACACAACCCCAGCTATGTGATACCTGAAGGGTATGTAGGAGCCCCCATGCCAGAGTCACAGGATGCAGTGGGATTAGATTTGGGTATGTATAATCTTCCAGCATATGCGAATAAAGAAGATATGGGCCTATTAAATACAACTCTGGCTGGGATTGTCAACATGCTGTCTGGTCTTGACAACAAGCTGACTGATCTGAAAAGTTACATCACTAAAATGAAAGGAGGAAGCACTTACCAGAAAAACCAAGGGGGATCAGGAGAAAAAAAGAAAACCAGACAGACGGATCCATGCTACATCTGCAAAGAGTTAGGGCATTGGGCCCCAGATTGTCCCTGAAAAAAACAGGATTCGTGCTACAAGTGCGGGAAATCTGGTCATTGGGCTAATCAGTGTACAGAGGATGAAGAGGATCAACAATTCGCCAAGGAAATACAAAAAATGGAGAAAAAGCCTCAGGAACCCAAGAGGAAACTACCCCTGATGACCGATAAGGCCCAGAAGAAGAAAAAGTAAATGGTTGTATTTTTTTACTTGAATAAAATTGCTTGTTTCTATTGTGTGTTATTGTTTTTTTTTCATTTTCGGAAAATCACTGTGAATGAGTGACGTCATAATCAAATTCTTTTGACTCGCTGCCAAAATCGTAGTAGCAGCGTATATAGTAAAATGTAAACACAGTGTAAACACCCCGTATAGGACATATAGGGGCTATGTACTAACCCACCTAGCCCCCTAGGGTTAGGGTTAGGGTTGTACTGAGTTGACCCAGCTATCCCCCACAGACCCCCTAATCTGCACTCTCTTCACCCACCTATCCCCCCCAGGGGCTGCACTCGCTTGACCCGCCTATCCCTCACAGGGGCTGCACTCCCTTGACCCGCCTATCCCCCTCAGCCCCAAAAGTGCACTCACTTGACCCGCCTATCCACCCCAGCCCCAAAAGTGCACTCAGTTGACCCGCCCATCCAGGCGGTTTATACTACTTACATGTATCGCTTGAAGTGAGCATCGACTTTTAATTCTTTATTAATGTATTCTTCATGCACTGAGCAATAAAATTATAGTATGTTATAACTTAATTTTATATTTTGATTTCTTTTTCCTCAGTTATTTCATTAATGTAGAGCTACTTACAATGCAATACTTGTTGATGGGAATTCTATGAGATATTGAGAATATGTATTAAACTATTAATCTAGCATATATAGCATACAAGATAGTATTAAAGGGCTTTTACCATTAAACTGTACTACAAAACTAGTATAACCTTATTGTATATATTTGTTTGTCAATTTTGAGGACAAATGGCCAACCAGTGAAGAGCAATTGAGTCGTCATGATGGAGAGCCAATAAGATACAAACCAACGTTGGCCCAAAAATGATGTTTTTCTAATATTGAAAGAATAAGTGGCCCAACAATGGCCCAATATTAACTGTTACATTGGCCCAACAATAAGCCAACAAGTTGGTTTGATTAAGGGCCAATGAGCAAATTACAGTTGGCCCAACATTAATTGCTTACAATGGCCCAACTGTACAAAAATGACGTTTACCCAACATTGAAAAAATACATTGGCCCAACAGTGGCCCAATATTAACTGTTACATTGGCCCAACGATAAGCCAACAAGTTGGTTTGATTAAGGGCCGATGAGCAAATTACCGATGGCCCAATGTTGAATTCAAACAGTGGCCCAACTGTACAAAAATGACGTTTACCCAACATTGAAAAAATACATTGGCCCAACAGTGGCCCAATATTAACTGTTACATTGGCCCAACGATAAGCCAACAAGTTGGTTTGATTAAGGGCCCATGAGCAAATTACCGATGGCCCAATGTTGAATTCAAACAGTGGCCCAACATAAGGAGCGTTGTTGGCCCAACAAAGGTCCAATAACATCCTGCTATCTGGCAAGGGATAATTATTTTAATTCTAAAGCGATAATAATTTCATTAAAGTTTTTTTATACGTAGAATTGATTATCAATAGCATATGATTTTGCAAAAAATCTGAGTGTTCCAACAAATATATACTATATGCGGTTGAATTTTGATAGAAAGTCAGGATAATATTGATCTTTAATCACGCGTTCATTGGACAAGTGAGAGGGGCATACACGTGCTTTTTCGTGCAATATAACATTATGTATAAGAAATACAATGTACCTGTGTGCAGCTTTCTTAGAAACAGCTTTCATTGACCTTTTACGGGATCTGCAAATAGCACAATATTTGTGTGACTTTGTGCCGATGTAAAATGTTTTAACATCAACATTGCCCCTAGAAGTCTGAAGCTCCCCCCTATTCATATCGAGGGTGCATTTTGTGCGGATGTAGTCATCCTCCGTGACCTTTCCTCCCGTAATACGCGCTAATTCAGTCCTCCGTACTTCGTTTATTTTTTCCTTGAGGGTTCTTCGATTAGATTTATTTATGCGCTTTTTACAAACAACACAGTTTACACTTTTAGGCATGGTGAATACTAGTGAGTGTTTTCCGATTATATCAGTGTATAATGACGGTTTTAACAGAAAAAAGGGACTATAACTTTAAATATAACTTCCAGCAGTTTAAGTGAGAGTTTTCTTGAAGCAGACGCACGTGTATAATATATAAACACAGTAAAAAGCGGAATCAACGATACCTAAAGAGAATTTTTAATTATGTTTAATAAATATATGCAGTGATTAAGTAACAGATGTATGCTATAGCCCCTCCCCTCCCCCCCCCCCCCCCTTGAAGTAGATCGATAGATACTTACCGAAAGAAAAAAAAACGGAAATTGGCAAAAATAACGCTCAATAACAGGTAAATAAAACAATTCTGCTATATTTAGCTAGTTATCAGGGGGTATATAATAAATTTATCATTATAACAGTAACTTGATCCGAAGAGCCGTATCCTAGCATATAGATATATCAAATATGCACTTTTCCAAAATACATGTTTCTTCAAATACAGTAGAAGGGTTGTCCAAGTATTTTTAGCCGATGGAATAAGATTTGACAATGGATAGCTCGCAGACACTCTAGACACGATGTCGAAATGGTGTGCTCAAAGCGTGAAAGTGAATAGATTTAAATCACGTGTTCAATCCTTTGTTATTCATGAGGTCAAAGACGGGTTGAAATTTGTAAACAAGGTAGCTTTACTGTAGAGACAAGTACCCGTGATTTTGAGGTTTTTGGGAAAATAACACATGAGCGCACGATTGTTTCAATTTCTTTCATGGATGTAAATGATAAGTATTACTTTTTACGTTGTCCATAAAAACGGCAAATTGAAACATAAATGCGCTCATATAAAAAATGGGCTTACAAAATGGGGGTGTGGCCTAAATTCTATGATAAATTGATGTAAACAACGTACCCCTGCTATATTAATCAGAAAAATACCTAATTACAGTTAATGAAAGCAAATTTTTAAATTGAAATTAATAAACTACAATGTTTAATGGAAAGATCGGGGCAAAATTATGTAGAAAATCTGAAAGTTATTTTTCTGTAAATATATGGGGGGCCAAATGTGGACGTTTAAACGATTCATTCTTTAACCAGTTACACGACAAATTCATGAATATCGAGTTAAAAACTGGATTCTCATTTACTTGTGAAGACTTTGTGAGCGGTATTTCAAAGTACTATTTAACAAGGAAAATTGACTTTGTTTGTAAATGTGAGCATGGGAAATCTCAATTAGTACCTATTTTTTGTATTTTTCACAAACACATTTCAAAAAATTGTCAGTTGACTTTCCTGCAGTCATTTAAAATCGCATCCTAAATTTCTCTAAACCACGTGATTGTAGTAAAAATAAAAATGTAGTAGACCATCATGCTTTTCGGCTCATTCACTGGATTGGACCATCGTTTGCTGTGAGCACCTCTGTGCGCAGTGATAACAATATCCATATAAGGTAGTTTCCTCGATCTGTCTAACCAAACACTATAATTTCATTCAAGTTTAATAATTTCTAGGGGTTTTCATGCGCCCGTAAACGAAGTTTCGGGTGGTATATAGTTTTTGTCATGTCCGTCCGCCTGTCTGTCTGTCTCTCTGTTCGTCCGCAAAAACTTTAACCTTGCCAATAACTTTTGATTTAGTGGAGCTATGGCATTCATATTTCACATGTGTATTTCTTGTGACAAGACCTTTCTTTGGGTAACATCAAATATGACCCCTTGACCTTGACCTTGGGGTTTGACCCAATTTTACACCAAAATTTCAAACTTTTACTTTGGCCATATCTTTTGAACAGCAGATACCAGGTCACTTACACTTATCATATGTCAAGTTTGTGGTAAAACCTTTCATCAGATACCAACAACCTTGACCTTTTGACCTTGACCTTGGAGACTTATGAAAAAACTTTAACCTTGGCTATAAATTTTGAACAAAAAGTGCTAATGTTTTCATACTTCACATGTGTAATCCTTGTAAGAGGACGCTTTATTGGATAGCAAGAACCTTGACCCTTGACCTTGACCTTGGAGTTTGACCTACTTTAAAAATACAACTTTGACCATAATTTTTGAAGGGTTAGGACTAGGACTCTCATACTTCACATCTTTAATTCATGTGACAAAACCTCTTATTTGATACCAAGAACCTTGACCCTTTGACATTGGAGTTTGACCCACTTTTACACAAAAATTGCAAACTTTTACTTTGGCCCTAATTTTTAAACGATAGATACTAGGAATTTCATAATTCAAATATCATTTTTTTTTTTTTGGCAAGACCTTTCATTTGAAACCAAGAATTTTGACTTTTGACCTTGACCTTGGAGATTTCTGTACTTACGAAAAAAAACTCTAACCTTGGCCGTAACTTTTGAACAGTAAGGGCCAGCGCTTTCATATTTCCAATATGTAATCTTTGAGACAAGGCCTTTCTTTAGAAACCAACAACCATGACCCTTTGACCTTGACCCCGGAGTTTGTCCTACCTTTAAAAATGTTAACCTTGGTCATAACCCTTGAACAGGTGGTGCTAGGGTTTTATATTTAACATTTGTATTTCTTCTGAAAAGGCCTTACGTTAGATACCAACATATTTGATCTGCATTTGAGAAAGCTTAACCTTCGCTATGTTGCCATACGGGGGCATCATTGTTTCACAAACACATATTGTTTCTAAAGTGGTTTGGTGTTTTGAAAATAAAATTGAAGAAAATATCTTATATTTTGCTTGTTTAAAGAATATGGATATCAATGTAAACTTTATTGTGAAATCAAATATTTTCGTGGGGTTAAATTTCCCTGGTTGGAAAAAAATTATGGGTTCAAGGGGATTGGATTTCGTGGATGAAGAACTGTTGAGAATTATATAAATGACATTTCACATTTCGTGGTGGACATGAATTCGTGGGTCTCTTCATACCTCGAAAACAACGAAAATCAACCCCCAAGAAAATTAATGATTTCACAGTTTAAAGAAATCCCTGAAATAAATTTTCGTGAGATTGCATTGCATTTTGCGTGTGTTACATAAATTTCATTAATTTAACAAATTTAGCACTATCAATAACAATTTCAGATTGTTATGCAAGTAAAAAGACGTAGGTTTGATTTTGTTGAAATACAAAAATTTAATGCTTCATGTCAATTACTGACATAATGAGCATGAACTTTGAATAACTACCTGAAACACATATTTATTGTACATACAAATATACTATACATATTTACATATGGCAAGACTCCAAAAAGACGCCATCCTTTAAACAATTAAACACAAATTGACTGTTTGCCATATAAATAGATTAATTCAGTCTCCGAGGAAATGGCTAATAAATCGTGTCAAAATCTTAAGGAAATTTATGTCAGATAAATTCCTTGCGCCCCATGGATTCGATTAGCATCGTAATATGATGTATTTGTTTTTACCAAGCTCTTCTAATGCCATCCATCACTTCGCTTATTATCCCTATTCACTTTCATGTAAAATAACTAAAAAACACACAGTAAACAAATAAAATTTTACTTTAAAGGATAACTTTCGGCACAAAGATTGATTGATGACAAAAGCAGACAACATTTAACAATTAATATTAACTAAAGCACCCACACATGTTTGATTGCTCTTCGCTAAAACTTAACAAAGTTATGAGATAATGATATCATTATTTTTGCGAGATTAAAATTTTAGCGCATGAGGAAAATTTGAGATCGAAAACGAAAACAGTCATTACCATTTAATCATGTTTTCTTCCCTTAATACTTTTCCGAAGTGGTAGACCGAATTTTTCACCCTTTGACAAATGTTTCATTGAAAGTATATTTATTGGTGTTAGTTGAATTAGAGGATATAAATTGTACTATGAACATAGATATTTTACTGAGAAAAAAGTCTAGATGTCTTTACAAAGACGTATTCATGCGAGTCTCATAAAAATTCATCCAAAAGATATGCTATCCTTTGAAATATGCCTAATTTCACTAAAAAGGGGAGTTGTAGACCAAGCAGTCTGATTGAAAGATACTTCGTTTACAAATGACATTATTTTTACCGGTATATAACATGTGATGTCTAAGAAATACATTTTTTTCCTATTGTGCCAAAAGGCGGCTTGACACTATTTAAAGATAATAACATGGATAAAATCCTTACAACGGATTTAGTACATGAAAGCAAAATATTCACGACAGACTTTGAATCGATTGTTTCGAATACGTACTTCAAACTGTCTCTATGAATACCAATATAAAAAAAAGCAGCTAAATGGTTCATATGAAAATTGGAGATACAATTAAATATTTTCGTTTCTTTTTTGTATCTAAATTGATAAAGCTGCACAATATTTTGGGAAAACAACATTTAGCAAACAGTATGGAAGCTATTTTTTTTCAGAATGTTCTCGTAAAAGTTACCAAATTGTGTTTTTCTGTCATTGGTGTTACCTTATAAAATTTTGTTGTATAGAATCAGTTAAAAAACCTATGAATGCAAGCCATGATAAACATGTACTAGGATTATTCAAGTTTACTGATAAGTCCAAAAGTATCGTTGTCCAGTGATGAAAATTAAGTTTTCAATCGTATTTGGACATTGACATGAGACAAAAATAAATAGACACACACTAAAAAATGCTGTACATGTGGTGCCACGTGTGTACAGTTTAAAATAATATAATTTATGACTTTTTTCAAGGAGTGAAATTAGGTAATATAAAGTTATTTCTTACATTTAAACTTATTAAAAGTAAAAAATAACAAGTTTTAGGTTGGTTACTCCACTGACTCAACTGTAACACCAATGATCGAAATTAGTAATACTAATGACTTAGCACTTAACAATTAGCATTTAAACATACTATAACATGAAACTTCATGTGAAAGACAAAAATGAAAAAAGTTTCTGGGATTTCATACTTAAAATGATTTTATAACAAAAAGAAATCTGGTAACACCAGTGACAGAATAGTTAACTTTTATGGTAACACCAATGACTGTTGAAGTAACACCGGTGACAAGAGATATGCAGTGTTTGTTTATCATTGGTTTGAAAAAAAAATGTTTGTAGGGTAAAAGGGTCTCAATTGTGAAGGATATGATGTTTTAAATCCCACATTCTTCATTAGAGAACTAGTAGATAAAATGTATTAATCAACATCTCTTGTCACCGGTGTTACTTCACCAGTCATTGGTGTTACCATAAAAGTTAACTATTCATAGAGAGATTAATACAAACTAAGTTAAACTTGACTAATTTTACTTTACTTAGGTGATAAACTCTGACATTCATGCATGGCCAGTGAATTTTTCAGAAGGGAAAATATATTTTTTTGAGCATAAAAAATGTTTGTCATTGGTGTTACATGTATATGATCTGAAGTTGTCATTGGCATTACCAGATATTTAAAACTTCCGTACGTGGAAAAAAATATTTATTGGAAAATAAATCAATTACTTTCAAATACCATAAATTAGGTTTGCAAAGTAGAATACAAATAAATAATTTTTCAATATAAGAAGAATATATTTTGCCTCCAAAAGTACTTGTTTTGTCAATGGTGTAACCATTCCTGTCATTGGTGTTAAACTTTAGAAAGTAATGCCAATGACCGTAACACCAATGACGTATTAGTCATAAAATGATCTAATATTTCTAATTTACCCTGGATAAAGTAAAAGTTTTGTCAACATTGCTTTTAGTTTCCCTAAAGAACATCTTTCGTAAAAGAGTTCAATGAATATCTAAAATCGTTTTGAAATAACGATGGAAACACCACTGACAAAAAAAGTTTGTACTAGTGTACTTTTTTACTTCTGAAGTCCATTAATATGTTCTGATCATGAATATCAAGGAGCAGTTTCTGTTGTTTTTGGTGAGAAGTGATGTAATATGACTTAGGACTGTTTATATTTTCTTATCAGGAATGATAACTCTTTTGTAGCAAAAACAAAAATAGTAACACCAATGACACAACTTTCTTGTACAGTCATATTAAATGTTGTATCAGTTAAATGGAAGGGGGGGGGGGGGGGGCGAATATTTTTTTTTTAAAAGATATATTATATTTAACGTTTATTTTATGTAAACATGATTTTTCAGACAAAATTTCACATAATTTTTGGCGTATTTATCCTTCTTTGAAGAGAAAAATTCCATTGACAGCATGAATTTGGCTGATTGGTGTGATAAAATCATCCATTGACTTTAATGAAATTAATTATGTGAAAATTTCTATTAGTAAATAGAAAGTACAGATGTCATAGATTGTAAAGCAACAATCCAAAATTTGGAGAAAATAAGAAATAGGATTTTACAAAGAAGTGACACATTTAGCTGCTTTTTTTATATTGACCCATATACGGTATAACATTTATGATTGTGACGTCGAGGACACTTCTTCCTTACTGTTTCCTTCTTTGCTTTGAGAATTATTCACTAGTGTTACAGTAACTCTGCATCGAAGCAGAAACTACCATATAGTAACAAAGAGGTTCAACGTGAGAACCTCGATATTTATTCAAGGTGTCTCATAAGAGTCTCCAAGCAATTCTATCCTTAAGTTCTACAACTTGAAAGAAATGGAATGATTATCTCAACCAGTATTTCAGTTGTCAGCACTCTTACTTTTAGTAATATATGAATCATTATCAGGTATCTAACTAATAATGATTTCCTCGATCAAGCAAAGCAGCTATAGTGTCATTTACGTAAATATTTTGTACTCTGATTTCATGCAATTCTGCATCAATATAGGGCGAGAGAGATGTGTTAAGATGTTATTTATTGGTATTCTGAAAGACGTCGTCATCCTCCGGAACTTCCTCCAAGTCTTGTAGTGGTTCCTCCACTTTTTCTTCAATCATCTCTATTTCATCCTCATCCTTGGCCCAGTCTTGAATTTCTCCGTCAGAGAAAATCAGAAAGAAAATGGCTCCCAAACAGTAGATTACAGCCGCAATATAGAAAGCTACAAGCCACTCTTTTTGTGTTTTCTGGGAAAAAAAGAAAATCATTAGTCTTTTATCAGGGAAAAATAAAATAGCCGCTTCTTTGGCAGTCTCAGAATTAATTAATGACCCAAAACAAGAGTTAGATACGACCATTAAATATGATTACTCGAGATGATCATCAGAAATCATTAGAGAGACCCATAAATACAACCCTGGATTACGTGTCACCAAACACCATCAAAGTGAAGGATATTTGATGATAATTAAATTTAAGTTCGTGTAATTAAAAGCACAGATAAACAACTCTATTCACCAAGATAACTAAAACCAATCAAACACGACAAAAGTTGATCACTTTGAATGTCCAACTTTTTAAAACGTTAAGATAAAACAAAAGTATATTTCATTTTGTTGTAAATATGTTGTAAAGTAGATCTTACTGGACGTCCTGTTTATTAAAGTGATAATTTTACACTTCATTTGTATTAATGGGTCTGCCTCTACAAAGACGTATGGTGTCGAATCAACAGCACGTTTTACTGGGAGGAATACCGTGTTGTTTAAGAAGGGACAATTCCTAGAGTCACCAGAAAAACAAACTCGCAAGCAGGTCGTCTTATAAATCTAATTCAACGAGTTCAATAATTTCAGTGACAGGCGGCATTGCAATTGACCTGTAGAACAAAGTACTACTTACTTTGTCTGTTCACAAACATCCTTTGCAATAATTTTGATTGGTTGAATGTTTTACACATACATGAAACATAAGGAGGTAACAAAAAGTATTCAAGATCAAGCTTAAGTCCATAAAACAATACAAAATAGGAGCAACGCAAACACGGACCTCCAAAACATCAGAGGTGGGATTAGGCTCCGTGGAGGAGTGAGTATCCCCAGCCAACTGGTGACACCCGCCATGTGCTCCTTTTCATGATCGGGAAATAACGGAAAAATCCGTCGTCAATTCAGTGTATGAATAATGGACTGACATTTCATTCAATAATAAATTATATTTGCTGACGTCATTGTATCGATCATAGAATTTACGAAATGATGACTTTGATGGTGTATTGGTTTATGGAAAATAAATGATATTTTCAGGCAAGCTATGGCGAAGCTTAAGAAATAAAACCTACATTGACAGTTATAGATGCTACCACGTATGGCGCGATTATTCCCGGGATACTAGCTCCAGTGTTGGTGATCCCAAAAATAGTACCCGCATAATTGGGGGCGATGTCGCCATGGTTGACGAAAACGGACGGAAATTGGAATCCACAAAATGCCAGAGACAACGTTAGGAGGGCAATAGCAGACTCTTGTTGGAAACACGTCATATAACCTAAACCAATCAGAAAGGCTGCTGGGACGAACTGTCCTACAGAATGAAGAAAACGTTATTGAAAACAAAATTTTACTCACATATACATGTATCTAATATTTATTGTTCTCTTTTATCATTAAAAGAAAAATGATAAACATCATTGAAAGTGTAAACCTGTATAAATATTTTCTTGTTAATATCAGCTTATGAAAGTGTAGAAACTCCTTTTTACCTATAGCACAAAAAAGCTTTCTTGTCCATTTAATGCTAAGAATATCCTTTGAAATAAGTGTGTCGGCAAGTATTCCGGCCACAATGATTGTTACCCAGAATGCCAGGTACGGTATCATAGAATAAATGCCATTCTGAAATCAAAACACAACATGCCGTTACGATTCTCAGATCACAAATGAATAGATTTAAAAATAATAAATTTTCTGCTTTGTGTCGAAAGGAACGGTAATGAATCCGTAGCTCTAAGGTTTTCTGTGTAAATTTTCTCAACCACAGAGCTACAGTTCAGAATCCGTAATGCATTGAAACTGATATAATTAACGTTACGTAAGGCATATGGCAAATGCCAAAAAAAACCCTGCATATATCTCTAGCTATATGTATGTAATTAAGTTTCTTACAGATTTGATATCGAATTTAAGAACTTCTTTCAGGTACGTAGGCATCTGAGTTAACAGCATATAAGCACCATAGTTTCCTGCTGCATTGGTCACAAGAATGGCCCAAACAGGAAGTGACGTCAGAATGGATTTCCAGGGCTTACCCTACAGAAAATGAGTTTACATGGTAGTTATCTTCTTTAAGTCTTAGGATTGATATTCTACAATTAAACAACAGGTCAAACCTTTTTTCTTAAACTAGCATGCTGTGAATTGTGGTCATTTCCAAGCGAGTGTTCGATATATTTTTTCTCGACGTCTGTTATATTTGGCATCTCCCCTGGGCTGTCCCTGGCAAGGAATCCCCATAATAACGACCAAACTAACGAACAGGATCCTAGAACGGAATTTTAAAATTCCTTAAAATAGTTTTCTTTGAAAACAAACTTTTAAACTTAAAAGTTTTAGTGATTGAATATGATTATATCATTTGAAAAAAAGCTCCCCTACACTAAAACAGAACTTATGACTTGTAGTAATATCATTAAAAAAATAATAAGAGGTTCTGATATCATGAATAAGAGAGGTACAAGTACTATTGGGAGTGTTCAAAAAGTCTTCTTACATACAAACATTACTTTACTTTTTTGTGAAAAAGGTTGATATCTTACCTAGAAAATAGAAAATAGATGGCCAGCCACCATATTCACAAAGAAGACTTGATATTGGAAATGCCAAAGCGTTTCCAAGCTGGGTCCCTGAAAAGGACGTTTATTACTGTATTATTATTAGTATAGAACCTACAAAGTTAAAAAAAAAACTTTCTTCATTTGTAAGCTCACCTCCAAATGCAAATGCTACAAGCCTGCTTCGTTCATGTGGGGGCGACCATTTTGCCCAAAACACTTGTGCGCCTGGATACATTGTAGCCTACAGAAGATATTTTTCCCGTATTTATTCGTATAGTGTAAGATAAGAAGCTACAAGGTGAGAAGACAATTATGCTTACTTCGCCTATTCCAATAAGGGCACGTGTTATAATAAGCAAGTAAGGACTTCCTCGAGCAAGGACAGGGGTCAGAAGAGTCAACACAGAAACCAAAGTCATTCCTGCAAAAATAATACGGCGAGACCCAAAGCGTTCCGAAAGAACTCCTGAGGGAATCTGCATCACTGTGTATCCCCAAAAGAAGGCTCCTAGAATTCCACCTTGAAGAGCTTTGTCCCAAGTAAACTCACCTTCCTATAAATAGATAACAAAAAGACAGGCGATGGTCACATCTTGAGTATAGAACACGTACCTAAATTCTATATTTGTGGAAGCTATATGTCATAAGAAATAGACACAGTATGAAGTGTTTTGAATATCAATATTATGTTCTGACATTAGAATAAATCCTACCTCTGTCTTAGAGGCAGGCGGTACTGGACATTTTCTGGCCACATTGGGTGGATCTTCTATCACACTGCTCTTGGTGACGTTTTCAGTGAGTATATCGTAAATTGAAATGTTTGTAATGTTTGATTGATATATCGTGTTAGCTGCTGCAAGTTCTGTCCTAACCATACAGACAATAGCAATGCTGAGGTTGACTCTTTGGGCGTAAAGGAAAAAGAACCCTATAAAGCAGAGACCAGAGAAGCGTACCCTCCATGACGTCCACCATGGAACTGAAAAAGGACAGGGTTATTATTTAAAAAAATAAGCAAAAAATAGTTTGCATAATAAACCAAAAGCAGAAGGGAGAAACTTGCCTTCTTCTGCTTTTAGAGTAGGGGGTAACTTAAGCTCGTCGATAAATGCGGACACTGCAGAATCATGATGAGGGTAACTAAGACTGGAACTGCGCATGCGCCGAAAACTTGGATGCCTGGATTCACTTCCTGGACTCTGGTTAGGGTTGGAGTCTCTAAGACTCTTTCTACTTCGAATGACCGAACTTTGACCAGATTCTCTGCGCCGAATGTACTTGACACTGGGATGTTCAGATCCCTTTGTAGAATCATTCCTTGTCATTATCACTAAACTCTTTCGGTCCGTGTTTTTCCGCGTTGGTGTCGAGTCCACAGAATCCTCATTATGATCCGAATCTGTGTTGACTGCACTCTTGTTTTGGACTGTTGTCGAGTCTTGTTCAGAGTTGTCCATACCGTATGACTCTTTCTTAACAAGACTGAATTATATAGGTTTCTGTATAATTATTGTATCATGTAAGTATTTGAATATTTATAACCACAAGTAAATGTTATATTTGGACTGCTGGAATGTTGTTTACAAGTATAGTAATTTTATTATCAAAATGACACGAGTAGCACAAAGCATAAAATTAGGCGAAAGTTCCAGGCTGAAAGTACGTTTTATATAGTAAATTTAATATGTAAAGTAGAAAATTCTTACTTACCCAGACAAATTATAGGTCCATTCAACACATGTATATTCTAACGTTTTATAAAAATACAATTGTACAATAGCTAGTGTTCGGTGCGGATGCAACCGAAACTCGGATGTCCGGACAGCTTACACTTCTCAAGGAGATATGGCAAGAAATCCAACCCTTTTTTGAATGACTACAAAATATTTTTTTTTCGCTAAAATTGCATTTCGCAAGAAGCTAGAATTTTGTTGTTGATTAGGATCAATTTAAGCGCGCAAACATAAACACAAGTTTACGTGCCATTATCACAAAATATGACACTACATCATCAATATAAGAGGAACATCCTGGGAGGAAGAAGAAAACTATCGACAAAGAGTATTCCGAACAGAATAATCTTTCTCTGTCTCCTTGTGTTTCCCATCATTTCATTCACTTTATGTATAAATCAGACAGATCGGAATTACGAGTGGGATATCGATTTGTTTTCTGGCAAGAATTATGTGAATGACATTCAAGGTGAAATACGACTTTTGTTCTAGAAAAGTCTTATATATACATGTGTATATATATATATATATACATATTTAAAAAAAAAATTAAAACTCAGTTTTTGGCACATTTTTTTTATTTACTAGTGTTGATCTTTATGCACATGTAACTTGATTTATCACTTTGAAAATGTAAATCAATCTTTTACCAAAGTTTTCTTACCTCTTTCTCCGAGAAGTTCCGAATGGCTTTTCCCTGCCAAGTTTCAGGTAAATTTTTAATTATCACTCGCAATATATCCATTTATTTGCTCATTATGTAATTTGTCTGAGAGATACCGGAACAGACAATCTTTGATACACACCAGTGCGTGATTAAACTGATTGCAAGTTGACTGCGTAGTTCATACATCGGCAAAACAAGGACCGGCAGGATCATCGTCCTATCGTCTGAATATTCATCGTAAACATCTTCAATGAAATTTTGTTTTTTTATTTTTTTTTAAAATAAAGGAATAATTTTCCTATAATATTGATTTTTATCTTTGGTTATTTGCTTTAAGACACCCTTGGCAATACAGTTTTCGACAAATGATTTGTTCTGTAGAAATAAGGCGCGGATTAAGGATCGTTAAATGGCATATTAGATGTTTTGCAGCGAGGAACCTCCGAGCTATGTCCTGATGCCAGTTATCTCAGCTGGTGACCATTTCTGTAAGCCTTTATAATTACTGTTTTATCATATCTTTGATAAAAACAACATTTTAGGATGCTGCATTGTCAAAATCAATCTGTGACATTTGTTGGTTGAAGTTATCTCTACTCACACTTGTTTCGCTGATCACGTACATGTATAATATTATGTATAATCAATATTTTGAGCACCGAGAAGAAACTTCTTTATTTGCGATTTTTAACCTTTTCTTGTAATCACTTTATTTTAAATAAATCTTGAATGATTCTTTATTGACCAAAATTGATAAAGGACTTTTTTCTTCTACAGACAAAATCATGACCTGGTGTAGAGTTCGTGACAGGAAGGGATTTATTGGAATGACAGAACTGAAAAAAAGATGTGCTACGAAATGGAAATGATCTCACTCATACAACTCACTTTTTAAAGGTGAACAAAGGGAGTGTCAGGATGAAATTTCACTGGATTATAGGGTGATTTTTATGTACTTTTAGACATACCTATTTTTGCCAACGACCTAGAGACTAGATTAAAAACCTTTTCTTTCATTATTGTATTTGAATGCTATTAGTGTGTTAGGAATACAGTTTACGCATTTCAGACATAAACAAATCGATTGCTTCCATTAATAGCCGATATTGGAAATTGCTTATTCATCAATATCACATGAATTTCAGCCATGTATTAAGATGATTCGGATCTCTGTTTATTAAAAAAAATATCACAAATCTTGTCAACAACATTGGTATAAAAACATTTTTTGAATACAGGATTATCGATAATAATCTTAAAATTTTAGTTGTGCGTGTTTATATGGGTCTAAGAATGATTAAATGGTTGCTATAAATCAATACATTATTAGTAGTATTGAAGTCTAGATAAACAATATAACAATTACCTTTCATATCATTATATTATTCCAATATCATTTGAATTTTAATGAAGTGTTTGTTGTTTTGGTTAACAAATCGATAAATGGACAGAGATATTAAACAAAGTACGACAGCTCATTTGGTCGTTATTTTTACAGACTCAGATTATGGAGTAACGTTATGTGAACATGTACAATACTAAACATTGAGTAAGAGAACGGATGATAGTAAGAACAATAGTTCATAGGACAAGGAGGTGAATATACTGGAGTTGAGGTTATCTTGTATATACTCCCACGACACTTACATTATCATCCAAAACTCGTGATGAACTAGAGTTAAGACGGAATCTGGAGCAGATGTATATCGCAAGTTATAACGTCGAGTGTGATATAGAAAGTAGTAGTCGGAAATAATAAACGAAGGTTTGCAAAATTTTGTAATAGATCGATAGTTGCCCAAACCAACAAAATGCCTTTTAGGAATGTGTGTATTTTTCATGTGTTAGGCTTGATATGAACGGAATAACTATTGATCATTTTTACATAAACAACATTCGACGCTTTTGGGATTTGCATGCTATAAATTCATCCTAATAAATACCAAACTTTTTATTACATATACCTGTATATTCAAAAGATAGGTACATTTACAAACTAGTATAGGATCATTCTTTTGGGTTGGTTATGTATACTTCAATTCAAGGACAATTATATAAGGTCCCTCTATAACCTAATGAAAATTGGGACGATATTCAATATGTAGGTATAAAAGTATATTTTCGAATATTTCCATTTCTAATTTTTCTCTCTGTGATAACTCTTTGAAAGTTAGCGGAGTTAATTTCTTGATAATTCTACCGGAAGGTAAATTAGGCAGGCCAATAGGTCAGGAGCTAAGGAGGCCTAATATGCATGAAAATCTCGTGCGCATCTGTCTCTGAGTCTGACGCTAAGGAGACCAAATATGCATGAAAATCTCGTGCGGCTGCCGTTGTGTTTGACGTCAGTGTGCGAGGACTATTGAAATTAGGATGGGAATCCTTGTGTAATTTAAATCTATGTCTGCATTTTTAAAGTCTAAATCTACAATTTTCACGATGAAATGGAAATATAAGGAATCACTGTCTAGTTAGTATAGTATGCCAGGGAAGCCCGTTATGCAAATTATCCCTTGTTTCCCATTATTGTTTATGCCCTGGCATACTATACTAACTAGACAGTGATTCCTTAAATAATGACTGGTATTCATATTAAAAATAAACTATAAAATATGGAGATAAGAAACAGCATTCAAACTCAGAGTCCATTGAAACAATGCCAGTCGGGAGAGAAGCAGACAGGGACCTCCAAACATCAGAGGTGGGATCAGGAGCCATGGAGGAGTAAGCGTCCCCTAATGACTGGGTCTCACTCACCATGTGCTTTTTGTCCTGATCGTGGAAACGGAAAAATCCGAAGAAATTTCAAGGTGTAAGTAATGGCCTTGCAAGTATAAAAAACATGTCAGCATTTGACCTGATGATAGATTGTTTTTGCTGATAAGGTCACCGAACTGACCACAGAACTTGCTAAAAATGATGAATCTAAACGAAACTTTCGATATCCATGTTTCTTCAACTTGCTTGTCTGTAGCTTGCCTCGTTTTGAAAATTGATCGTACGTAGAGCATGTTCTTGCGTAACGAATCAACTGGTAGCCATACACCCCATAGGCAGGTGGCAATTGTACCGGTGTAATGCTACATAAGTAAGAGAATCTGACGATAGAAAAGTTAAATTGATCACATTTATCATCTCTTATGAAATTTTGAAGCCAAGATCAGGGTTCCTTAACATATATTGCCATCCTAAATGTACTTTTAACATTAGGAAACTTGGAATCAGGTGGTTCATTAAAAGATTACAAAATAATAATTATAGGAACTCAAAGCCAGATCAGAGACCAGTCCCTGAAAAGGAGACAATAGTCTACTGGTATACTGCGTATTACTGGTACATTGTTTAATGAATATCAAAGAAATCTTGTTATAAGTTTTTTGGACGATTTTTAACTTTTTCTTGTAGATGACTTATCAGTAGAGTCGAGTCCTTCTAATTCTTTTCTATTAAATAAGTCTTGAATGACTCTTTGCTGACCTAAATTGATAGTAAGACTTCTTCTACAGACATAAACATCACTTGGCGTAGAGTTCGTGACAGGAAAGAATTTATTGGAATGACAGAACTGAGAAATAAAGCTATGCTACACAATCGAAATGATCTCACTCATACAACTCACTTTTTACAGGATGAAATTTTACTTGATTACAGTTTGATTTTCATGTACTTTTAGACACATATATACCCATTTTTGTTCACTACCTAGTAAATTGAAATCTTGTATTTGAATGCTATTAATGTGCTAGGAATACAGTTTAAGCTTTCAGACGTAAATAAATCGATTTGTTCTATTAATAGCTGATATTTGGAAATTGCTTATTCATCAATATCATATACATGTATTAATATCAGCCATGTATTAAGACAATTTGGTTCTCATTTAATTAAAGATATATCACAATTCTTGTCAACAACATATCGTTGATATAAAACCTATTTCATTACAGGATTATTAATAATTAACCGAAAATTTTAGTTGTGCGGGTTTATGTTTCTGTAAGAATGATTAACTGGCTACCATAAATCAATACATTATTATTAGTATCGAAGTCTAGATAAACAATTTATAATAACAAATTATCCTTCATTTCATTATATTTTATCATTTGAATTTTGATAAAGTGTCTATTATCCGGTTAACAAATCGATAAAAGTACAGAGATAATAAACAAAGCACGACAGCTCACAATGGTCGTTATTTTTTCAGACTCATATAATACGTGGAGTAACGTTATGTGAACATGTACAATACTTAAAGACTGAGAACGGATAAAAGTAAGAGCATTAGTTCATAGGACAAGGAGGTGAATACTCTGGAGTCGGGGTTATCTTGTATTTCCTCCCACGACACTTACGTTAACATCCAAAACTCATACTAGAGTAAGACGGAATCTGGGGCAGATGTATATCACAAGTTATAACGTTGGGTGTTTAAAAAGTGTGATATAAGTAGTAGCAGTCGGAAATAATAAACGAAGGTTTGCAAAAAGTTACAAAAGATCGATAGTTGCCCAATCAACAAAATTTCTTTTTGGAAATGTGTGTATTTTTTGTGTGTTTGACTTTGGTAACGAACGGAATAATAATTGATCATTTTTACCTAAACAGTATTCTATGCTTTGTTTTTGATTTGCACGCTATGAATTCGTCCTAACAAATATCAAAAAATTATTACATACATTTCATATGTATAAAAGACAAGTACATTTACATTTGAACTTGTAAATAGTTAACAAACTATTTAAGGATAAGTCTTTTGGGTTGGTTATGCATATATGTGTACTTCGACAATTAAGGGCCCTCTAAAACCTATTGCAAAATTTATGGGACGATATTCCATATGCAGTTATAAAAGTATATTTTCGAATAATGACTGGTATTCATATTAAAACTAAACTATAAAATATGGAGATGAGTAACAGTATTCAAAGTCAAAGTCCATTGAAACAATATCAATCGGGAGCAAAGCAGACAGGGACCTCCAAAACATCAGAGGTGGGATCAGGAGCCATGGAGGAGTAAGCGTCCCCTGTTGACAGGTCACACTCACCATGTGTACTTTGTCCTGATCGTGTAAACGGAAATTTCAAGGTGTAAATAGTGGCCTTGCAAGTATTAAACACATGTCAGCATTTGACCTGATGATAGATTGTTTTTGCTGATAAGGTCACCGACTTGACCATAGAACTTGTGAAAAATGATGAATCTAAACGAGACTGTTGATATCCATGTTTCATCAACTTGTTGGTCTGTAGTTTGCATCGTTTTAAAAATTGATCGTACGTAGAGCATGGTCTAACGGATCAACTGGTAGCCATACACCCCATATACATGTTGCAATGGTATATTGCTACATACGTAAGAAAATCTGACGACAGAAAAGTTAGATTGATCACATTTACCATCACTAAGTCTTATGAAATGTTGAAGCCAATTGAAAGATCGGGGTTCCTTAACGTTTATTGTCATCCTAAATATACTTTTTACATTAGGAAACTTGGAATCAGGTGGTTCATTAAAAGATTACAAAATAATAATTATAGGAACTCAAAGCCAGATCAGACCAGTCCCTGAAAAGGAGACAATAGTCTACTGTTATATTGCGTATTACTGGGCCATTGTTTAATGAATATCAAAGAAATCTTGTTATAAGGTGACAGGTAAGAACAACATGCGTAGAAAGGTATGCTAGCACCTATTTGTGTGCATGGAAAAAAATGTAATTAACGAGATATCCTCATTTAAAGACAGACTTAACTTTGCAGAGGCGTTTGATTAACATTGAAGTTATTTACTATGTAAGATTGTGTCTCTATCGATTTTGAATGTACTTTATCAAGAACACCCAGATGTATCGTTGAAAAAATAAAATTGTTTATGTCATTCAGATCTTTTTGTATTTTTATGAAGTGTTCAATTTGTATAGTATAATAATTTGAATTTTTCAATTCTCAGTTTATTACGAGTTTTAATGCATTTCTATGCAATAAGATGGATACATATCCCTTTTCTTCATTGTCCGTCTGTCCGACATCTCAAAGTTATGAAGACTTCTTACTTTTAAAAAAGTACAGCTTATCAGTTAAACGAAGCAAGCTTAAGAAATAATTGCCATAAAAACTTAACTAATGGTAAGGGTTTATAAATAGCTTTTGACGAAAAAGGTTAAGGAATGGGTTTAGAATAACTATATTTTTTAAAGAAAGAAATAATGAAACACAAGTATAAATCAATTAAGGAACCGAGGGCAAGAAGATACACGGTATACAAAAAGAGGAAGTTTTCAGTTTAGCATTATATCGGGTAGATTTTTTGAAAAGAAATTATTTTTTATTTTTGTTTATTTTAACTCAATTTATTTTTATTTAATTCAGATTTTTATTTAATTCAAATACATGTTCCTTGCCAAGAAATTGAATTCGTTGTGTGGCGCAGTGGTTTGAGTCTGCTCTGATAGTTCGTCCTTCGTTTTCGAAGATGACCATAATAACATCTCGTCTGTTTCTAAGTTTGGTTGTGAATGCGAAGATGGCTGGTTTGACCATCTTCGCATGGATCGTCCTTCCACAAACTGGACATGAAGGTCCTAGTGGAGTGTCAACAGAGGTTGCTCTCTCTTTACGCTTTGTGCGTTTTTGTTCTGCCAGTTTCTTCATCTTTTCCTGGTACTGGTTTGCCCCCATCATCACGCTTGAGCGCCAGGCACTGCGATCAAGTGCTAGGTTTTCCCATTTTGTAGGTTCTATATGGAACAGCTTCATGGACACTTTAAGGGAATCTTTTTATCGTTTTTTCTGACCATCCCTGGAACGTGTACAAACGGCTCTGTACATACTAAGCTTTGTTGTTGTGGTTATGCCTCGTCGGCCCCATACTGCTTTATTTAGGCGATCAAAGGTACAGCTTGCTTTAGCTATGCGTAAGTTTACTTCATCGTCAATGTGGACATTTCTGGATAGTGTGCAACCAAGATATGTAAACTTTTACACAGGGTTGAGGCGCTCAAATTTGATGTAGATGTTATGCTTAGTTTAAGATTTGTTTGGTGCCGATTGGAACATGACTTCGGTTTTCTTAGTGCTTATTGTCAATATCCAAAGTTGTCACAAGCATCCGAAAAGCTGTTCAGAGTTGTTTGCATTTCAGCCTCTGTTGATGCATGTAGGGCGCAATCGTCTGCAAACAAAAAGTCCCTCAGTCTTTGCTCTCAGACGTTGCAGATTGAAGACTCCCCCATCCGTACGGTATCTGATGTCAATGCCTGGATCATTTTCTGAGAAAGCATATGTCAGCATAGCTGTGAACATCAACCTGAACAACGTAGGGGCAAGAACACAGCCTTGCTTGACACCATATGTGACCTCTAAAGGAGCAGATTGGTTTCCATCATGAAATTGACGCACCATGTTGATGAATCTTGGTGGACACCCAAATTTCTCCATTATTAACATAAACCTGTTCTGTTGACGGTATCAAAAGCTTTTGTGAGGTCTGCGAACGTTGTGTATAGGCTGCTATTCTGTTCCTGGCATTTTTCCTGCAGTTGTTTGGCAGCAGAGATCATGTTCACTGTTCCACGGCCTGGACGGAACCCACACTGACTCTCCCGTAGTAGCCCATTTTCATGATGTCGAAGTCTGTTCTGTTATACGTGCGAGAATCTTTCCAGCAATGGATAGGAGAGAGATTCCTCTGTGGTTATCACATATCAATTTATGTTGCCTTTACGCTGGTATAGGAGGACTATCGAGACATCTTTTAGATCCTGTGGTAGGGTTTCATTTTTCCCACATTAACTGGAAATGTTTGGTCAATTTCTGAATCATCAGTGGTCCGGCAGATTTATAAATCTCGGCTGGAATAGCGTCGGCTCCCGGAGCTTTGCCTGTTGACATTTGCTTTATTGCTTTCAGAGTGTCAGTGGCAGATGAATGGTCGTCAAGTGCAGTGTCGATTGGGATCTGAGGTAGACGATTTATGGCATCGTTATTGATTGAAGACGGCCTATTTAGGACCGAATTGAAATGCTCTGCCCACCTGTCAAGAATACCAGGCTTGCCAGTAATAAGTTTGGTTCCATCAGCTGCAAGCAGTGGTGATGTACCATCAGGCTGAGGACCATACAGCATTCTTATGGCTTGATAAAAGCATTTGGAGTTGTGGGTGTCAGCATAACCCTGAATTTCTTCGGTTTTTTTGGTTAAGCCATCTTTCTTTCATATGCCTTAGTTCGGTCTGCATACTCTGCTTCATTTGGTAATGAGCAGCTGTATTGGCTGGGGTTTTGCTTTAATTGTCCGTTCTTTTTCTTTCAGCAGTTTGTCAATGACCTAGTTGTTTTCATCTAACCAATCCTGATGTGCATGCATTTTAGGACCTAGTGTGTCGACACATAAAGAGTGTACAGTGTTCAAAGGCAATGACCCAAGTTTTTCGTCTAAAAGGTCTGCGACTTGCTGCTTCATATCATACTTGTGCAATTCTCAGTGTTTAGTCGCTTGGGTGGTTTCTTTCCTTGTGGGCGCCTAGGTGGTTGAATATAGAAACTGAGTCTGCATATGATAAGGCGGTGGTCTGTCCAGCAGTCTGCACCACACGCCAACTTTGTTACTCGCACGTCATTTCTGTCTCTTGTTCTAACGATTGCATAGTCAATGAGGTGCCAGTGTTTTGAGCGAGATGCATCCAGGTGGTTTTGTTTCTTGTTGGCTTCTTGAAGAGTGTATTTGTGATACTGAGGCTGTGCTGGGCACACAATCTGAGGAGAAGCTTGCCATTGCTTTTACATGAACCAATGCCGTGCTTTCCAATGACGTCACCCCAGGATTCCGCATCTGAACCAACCCTGGTATTGAGGTCCCCAAGGACCAGAAGCTAAGCTTGTCTTATCTAGGTATGGAGGATATGATACTGTCAAGGTCCTCATAGAACTTGTCCTTGATATCATCAGGATTTGTCATGGTTGACGCATAGCAACTGACAATTTTGCACTTCTCTTGCCCTTCAATTTCAAGCAAGTGTCATTAGGCGATCGTTTTTCCCTTTGGGTAGACTAGTCAGCTTGCCTATTAAATCGTGTTTAATGGCAAAGCCTACTCCTGCCTCACGGCGTTCAACTTTTCCATGCCCACTCCAAAAGAATGTATATCTGGCTTTTGGATCCTTCAGTTGTCCTTCTTCAGCAAGACGAATTTCACTCAGAGCAGCAATGTCCACATTGTCTCTGGATAACTGCTTTGCCACGAGAGCTGTTCTTCTTTCTGGTCTGTTTGAGTCACATTTGTCCAACAGTTTTCGAGCGTTCCATACTCCAACTGTAATTGATGTAGGTTTGGTCTTTTTGTGTTTCTTGCATTTCGACCGCATGATGGGGATCCCTGCCAGTCGCGGTAAACTGGCCAAAGTAGGTTGAGACAGACAATGTTTAGGGCACCTTTTCTAGCCCCTTCCACAAGCTACGGGGATGAGCAGTGCATTCCTTAAGAGAGCTGCTCAGTCAATCAAGATGCTGCCGCGAGCCTCTGCTGTCTCGATGAAAGAGCTGACGACGAGTGTCTTGAGGCGCCTGTGTGTAGGGTCATAATTGCAGCTTCCAGTGTATCCACACCTGCTGTATGTTTTCGTCATTTGCCAATCGCCACAGGACTTTGGGGTGTTACGAGATGAGACATGACTTGCACTAAAAATTGATTTTAGTGAAGTATGATCGCACACCACCAACCTTACTCCCTCGTCTGAATTCACCTTGACTTAGTGGCAAGACGTTGTCAAGACTGCTAGAGATGAATCCAGATGCAGAAGTTGCCGGAGTCTTGCCACATGTGCACAAAAGACAGCCTTCGGGACTTCACTCCGAGTTTCCTGACCACAACCGAGTTCCATGTTTCCATAGTGGCACGCTTTGATCACGAACACGTGAGCCCTTCTACTTTGGCCGGTGACTTCTTAGCGGAAGTTCGCACGCCCAGTGATGCCGTGTTAACATCACCCCCTCACGTGCTTTCGCCCGCCGACTGAGGCGGTTTTCCAGGATATGTCACTAGGAGCCAGCACGTGAAAGTTTAGGTGATGGATGAAGACCAGTGGCGCCTGTCCACCCTAATTATAAGGTGCAGTCTACAGGTAACAAATTTTCTGCTTCTATCCAGAGCCTCCCTACAACCCGAGTCTGCTTTAGAGCCGCCAAGTAAGGAGTTAATTGATCCTCACGTCGCAGGTACATGACTATCACAGTAAACAAAAGACATGTAGTATCTGCATTATTCCGATGATGACCGGTACATTGTAAAATCTACACAAATTTATGCAAAGAGATAATTTCAAAATAAACTTGCAGAAGATGTGATTTTTATGCATCTTCCAAATTAAAATTCTTTTGAGAATCATCCGTGACACATTTGCCGATTTATATAATAACGAATGGTAACATAAATATCAATGTTAAAGGGGGGGGGGGCATAGGAACTAAAAATTCTTTCTCTGTGACGGAATGCAAATGTCGTACAATGTGAATTCTCATGTACTATTCCTTCCGAATAACGATTTGAAGTTGTAACGCCATGCTGATCGAACTTACTGGAGTTTTACACATGCAGAAGTATACTAAAACCCTACTAGAAATAAATCAATTACTTACCGAATAATCTGCAAGATCATCAGCATTAATCAGCTTGTCGAATTGGAAACTCGGCTAACCCTTGAATTTTTCATCCTGTCTAAATAAAAAAATAAAGTTAAGAGAAAGTCTGTTATTTATTATGGTTTTAAAGCAAGTGTGAAAAATATATATAAGTACGTGTAAATACGTTGCACAATGTCATTGTTATAAGATACAAAATTTTAATCAATTAGATTCGAAATGCGTCATCTCTAAATATGTAATATACTGTATATAGTTTTTTTCTGCTATGATTCCAGAGTGAACCTAATCAGCATTTTAAAAATAAATTATTTTTTTATGCAGGACCGACCTCCGCTATTTTGCATGCAGTAGCATAAAAATGTTACAATTTACAATGTTCATTAAAATGCTGTTCCCCTTCCCCCTCTTTTTGTTGCAGTATCCACCGAGTCAGGTTTATGTTGTAATGTAGGGAATAAGGTTGGACGCCCACCCCCTCTCGCTCCGAAAGTGTATTTACATGATTGGACTTTCCTTAACCATTACGGCTTTTTCGCGTGTTTCTTTATTGAACGATCCTTATAGGCTTTCGTGCCTTTAAACTAGGTGTACGTGAACAATACGTATACCGACCAAAATATTTATGTTTCAGATTTAATTCATAGTTCTAGAAATACCAATAAAGTAAATAAATTAAATATTTATCCAAGTAAAGAACCACCAGTATTTTTACCCAAGAATCTTAGCGGTCACCCAAGTAAAATAACACATTGTAAAGGATAAAATACTAGTATATGGAGATAACGAACAATATTCAAGCTCAAAGTTCATTAAACAAATCAAAATTAGAGCAGAGCAAACACGAACCTTAAAAATACAGTTGGGATCAGGTGTCATGAAGGAATGAGCATACCATGCCGACCGGTCACTCCCGACGCGTGCTCCTTGTCATGGTTGGGAAAAACGAGAAAATCCGTCAACAATTCAGTGTTCAGCCAGTCAACATTTGACTCGACAATAAATTGTAATTGCTGTTGACAAGTCATTGTATTAACCTTAGAACTTACAAAATGATGACTTTAGACGAGACTTCTGATATGTACTGATAAATACATCCCTGTCAGGCGCGTAGCCAGCATTGAAATGAAGTGTACGCAGGAAATGGTCGAGGGTCTGAGGGCCGCCCTCAGGTCCCCAGTGGGGGGGGGGGCATGGGGCGAAACCCCCAGAAGCTCCTGGATTTTACGAAATTTTTCAGTCATTTTCCTTTAAAAGAAATCACGCTACATCTCTTTTCTCAAGCAAACACTTAGCTAAGTTATACTTCCATGGATACTTCAGGAAGAGAAGGATAATTTGATCAAATAAATTTACGAATATATTGGTATTGGAAAAAAGTTTCTACGAGGGTTGTCCGTAAAGTTCGTGGACAACATTGATAAATACTGATAAACATTGACAAACTATATGAAACTATTATTTTTATTAAATTCATGTTTCATTTTATAAATATGCAAGTTTCAAAAAATAAACGGGGGTGTGGGTCTTTTGAAAACCTTTATATTCTGATAGCTTAAACAATGTGAGAGTACTTAAATTCTATAAATTGGTAACATCAGTCAAAGAAGAAATTCATAAATTATCAATATTTTTATTTGCTTTGTTCAGTAATTTGAATTTTGCCCTTTTTTTTTTTAATCGGTATTATTCATTACTCTAACGGAAATTCTGGTATAGTCGTCCAAGTCGTCCTTGAAACTTTTTCTTTAGATCAATGTCACTTAGATCGCTTTCCTTCATCAAATACATGTATTTGTCCGGATAATCAGGATTACGCGGATTAACAGTTGAAAATTTTGGTTCAACAATATTTTCTTACTAAGAAGTGTGGAATTCATTTTATAAAAGACTTGATTTTAACGATATTCTGAACAAAAAAATTTGAATAGAAACAATAAGACGTAAAATAATTTACAAGACAGATACTGCCCCTTTTTCTCCGAATAAATCTCTCTCTTTCCTTATTCTTTTTTCTTTCTTTTCTTTTCTTTCTTTCTTTTTTTTTTTGAAAATGATGTGTACGCACTTGCGTACTTGCGTATAGGCAGCTACGCGCCTGCCTGTCTTTGGGTAGGTTACATAATACCTACCTTGAGATGTGGACTGAATAAGGGGCTCCTTTTTAGTTCCGTGTTTCCTTCCTATGAACACACTTACAAAGAAGAGCTAGGTGTCTTCTGAAGATTTACTATAACAGCTCTAAAGATCAAAGCCCTAAGATCACTAGCTTCTAGTACTTATAACTGTATTAATTTTATTCTTCCCTTACCTTTAACTTCCCTTTTCCTCATTGAACTTCCAATTTCTTTAGATATTTCCTAAATGCCTGATATTCCAAAAGCTTTGCTTTATGTACAGTTTAGCTTGTCAAAATACTAGAAGTTGTCAGGTCACTCCACTTTATAAGGTTTCCATTGCGTTTAACACACTCATTACTAGTGTGTGTTCCTTTAAAAACATAAAAAAATGATGATTGGATTGTAAACTTTCTTTGGTATTTATAACTCTATATTCCCTCGTAAAATATATGGTATAACCTGGTTATGTGAATCTATGCAACTTTTTATAACTTTATGGGACGTCGTTTGAAACTTGGATTGAAAAATCAAATCTATTCTATTAAAAACCTTATCATTCTTTAAAATGAACACGTTTGTAGTTGCTAGTTCTATGTATTTTGAAAAAAAGTTTGAAAGTGGAATGTATCATCTAACCTTCAGCGGTGATCTAATAATTCTTAAAATCACGACGCAAATTGCCATTATTCACTAAAACATCAAAAAGGCTGTAACTCCATTCTTCGAATTACCTTTGAGTTTAAATTTCATCTAACTGTTCATTTCTTTGACTGCTTATCCAGTATGTATTTTTCTTGGCTATCGGCTGTCTATGTGACTCTACTTAATATATTACCCTCATTAGAGGAAATTTGAGAGTCATATTTCAAAATGTAAACAAATTATCAATTGTTTAAACCTATCTATGTATCTAAAGACTGATTGCTGATAAATTTATTTTTTCCTAAATATGATTCCCCACGCAATGGAAACATAATCCCCCTTTCTAAAAAGGCTTTATCGTCTTACTTTATTCCAAGAACTATGAGACGAATCGTGATTTTCTCAGATAAATTAAAGGCTGGTCGCCCGCGTGGTGCAATGGTTAGAGCGTCTGCTCAAGAGTCGCGAAGTAAGGAGTTGATCCTTACGTCGCGGGTTCGAACTGTGGGACGAGGAGAGCGGTCCTTCGGATGAGACCGTATAAACCGAGGTCCCGTGTCGCAGTAGGTGTTGGCACGAAAAAGAACCCTCTCTGCTCATTGGCCCTAAGTGCCGAGTACAGGACAAAATTTGCAGCTCTCCACCGGCGAGTGGTGGCGTCTCCATATGAGTGAAAAATTCTCGA